TGTGCAGCTTTTTGGCATTGATGACTTACTACGTTGGCTAAAGTGTGCAGTACACAACCGTAGAGCACTATGTTGGCCACCTAAATGCATTGCACTCAACAGGATGTTCCATTTGGAACTTGACAAATTAACTAAGTATACATTTTTCTCATTTTTTCAGACATCCAAGAGTTGTGCCAGTGCAAACCCCGTGTTGGCCTTAAAAGGAATTACTAAACGTGCATTAAAGATTAGTGTGGACATTTAAGGTGTTAGTGAGGTCAATAGGGGGTGCTCAACCTGCGATCTAATGCCCCAGTATATTGATGGGGAGGGTGACGCAGTGGTGCAGTAGGTAGTGCTGTCGCCTCACAGCAAGAAGGTCGCTGGTTCGAGCCACAGCTGGGTGAGTTTCTGTGTGGAGTTTGCATTTTCTCCCCGCATTCGCATGGGTTTTCTCCGGGTGCTCCGGTTTCCCCCGCGGTCCAAAGACATGCGGTACAGGTGAATTGGGTAAGCTAAATTGTCGGTAATGTATGTGTGTGTATGAGTGTGTATAGTGTTTTCCCAGTGATGTGTTGCAGCTGAAAGTGCATCCGCTGCATAAAAAATATGCTGGATAAGTTAGTGGTTCATTCCGCTGTGGCGACCCCAGATCTGCACCCCCCCCCCCCTCCTGATTCCTGCACATGCCCTTTGAACGGTCTCTGCACGGACCTGGTGTGTGTATACTATAAAAATCATATCAACGCAGCTTAACACAGATGAAGAAAAAGAGAAAAATACCAAACAATGTTTCAGATTGTGGAACATTCCAGCATACCAGGCAGGCAGAAGAGCTGTGTTAGAATACTTGTGTAGTTCTTGGTATATAAAAACAGATTCAGTTCAGTTTAATACAAATGATCCACAGAAGAGCATTGGCCATTGACCCCAACCAACCAAGCCTAAGGCGACAGTGGCAAGGAACTAAAACTCTTGACAAACAACTTGGGAGAAACCAGGCTCAATCGGGGAACCAGTTTTCTTTTGTAAAAAACAACGAGCATTCATCATGGAGAATTTGCAGGTCCAATAAGTCACCAGGTGGGGTTCAGACCGAATTGATCTACAGACTCTCCTGTCACTAGGCTCTTTGCAGAAATCTTGTGTAAGAGTCATAAGTCTTGTGCTCTTGACTCATTGATGATTATGACAACCATCCGCTCTTGATACGGACTGGATTCAAGATTATGTGAACCCTGGGATAAGGAGAAACAGACAGACTAGTTTCTGTTCAAATTACAATCTTTTGGGAAGTGAAAAATTGAATAGACATCTGACAATAGTCTAAACATTGGTGAATTTAGGCGACCCCAACCCCCCCACTTGCCACTTTCAGCCACGACCACGCTCCTTCCCCCCAGCCTTCTCTTTTGTACGCAAAAGCGCCACCAAACCCACCTCCCACCCACCGCTTTCGTCCGCAAAATGGTGGCTCGAACATTGAGTGACGACCGTAGTTTGCCTAGAGCAATCTTGCGCCGCTCCTGAGTCTAAAAATAGATTAATCATTAAATAGACATGAATATTTGTGAGGTAGTCTGATGTTTGACTATTGTTTGACTACAGCCCCCCAAAAAACTGACTTTTTTGTAAAGTGTTTGTTTCGTAATTTGTATTGGTTCAATCCCTATTTTGGATGTTATGACAAAAAGCCGCAGTCTGAAAAGAAGCATCTGTTTTGTAAAATGTATTTGTATCCATTGTCAGTAGATTACTCGGATTACTTTACACTTTTGCACTAATTTGCCTTTTTAAATAAATATGGTCCTGTTTAGTAAGAATGACATTCCCAAAAATATACTAAATAAACAACTGCACTATCCACATTGTACTGGTTATTGCAACTCACTATTCAATCTACACAATTTTCACTTACAATTTGACAAACTAACAGTATACGTGGTTGCAGTTTTATTTTTGTTTAAAAAAAAGCTAAGCTAAGTTATGGTTATTACAGTTGTATGCTAATTAATGGCAGTGTGTTGTCAAAAAGAAACAGGATAAATATTACTGGTGAGAATGTGTTAGTTTGTGTATTTATAAATATAATAATATGTTTGAATGCACGCAGTCAACTTAATATGTTCAGCTTTCACCATACATGGTGGGCAGCTTACATACAGCAGCCCATAAAAACAGTAGCTAATATTGAATCGATAGATAGATAGATAGATAGATAGATAGATAGATAGATAGATAGATAGATAGATAGATAGATAGATAGATAGATAGATAGATAGATAGACAGACAGACAGACAGACATACTGGACAGTGTACTACAGCAATACATTAGCATTCCATTCTGAACAGATCCTTAAGTCCTTCTCACTCTGTTGAATCATTTATTAATGGTCATTTAAGGCCATGCACTCATCTGAGTCAGTCTCCTGGTGCTTTTGGATGGATGCAGATTTTGACACATCAGTGGTACAAACCACCATTTATCAGATGATTCTTCCCACTGTAACAGCTCTCAGTGGCACATTTAGATTGATGCCTGGTGCTTTACGGAAGGGGGAGGGAGAGTGATCCAACACATCCAATTAACAAAGGCCGAGAGATCGGCCTCTCATTGTTGGAACTAATGGTCTGGATTCTTGTCAAATATTCATGACCGTCTAATGCTCTGGTAATTTAAGATGGAAGGGCATTTATAAGTAATACACTTTAAAATTAACAACAAAGGCATTTTAAATGCATTGTCAGTCAATGTGGAGATTCGTTATGGAGTTTTTGATATGAAATCAGAAAGTGGTTTGAATAAAATTGGTATATATTTTTCACAAGTTGATTATCAACATTTAGGAGTAGATTAGCATATAGATGAGCTCAAAGCTAACAGACATGGACTAAAAATCATAAATAGCTTAGTTTTGTTCTGAATTTACTCTAAAACACCCATAATTTAGCAATTAAGGTCTGTTTCGGTGGAGTTTAAATGCACAGGTTGATCTTTTGTTGAAGGTAGCCTAAGGAAATTATGTTCTGATTTCTGTTTTTCTCAATGCACGCTCATTTCTCTATCAGAAATCTTTGTTCTTGCCTCTTTACTTCATAAATGAAAGCTTTGCCCCCAGCTTTGGAATCAAACAAAAGTTTTGCCCCTTTTCGTCACACGTAGTTTGCAAACATTTTCCACTTCGCTTTGGAGAAACAACACACATGCATCAGCACGTAATGATCTAAAAAGTTCTTTTTTAAGCATCACTTCTATGTTCAAACACATCTTTCACTAGTTTAAACTTATATCGGAAGTCTCATGTTGATTTATAATAAGCATATGTGGATAATATTATATATTCATAAACGACAGACATTCTAAATAATTCTCTTAAATCTCTCAAGTGAGTGTAGGATGTTAGAATGCTGACTCCATTAAAATAGTTTCTTCATAGATCCTAGGTCTAGGTAAAAAATCTTCCGAAACTTTTCACAAAATAAAGGTTACCATTTTAGACCAACCGTTTTTGTCCTGGTGCACTCAGCGGTAGCTTGTGGAAACCTTTACTCACTTTCTTTATTGTTTCCGTCACAGTTTCTCTGAGATTTGCAATGTCAGATCAAAGACCACTGGACCGCTGCACTGCTCACGATTTGAAGCTAAACTTCTGAGCAACTGAAGGTCTGACAAAGGGAATCCCTAAGAGACGTACTGCATGAAGACCCTCGGTCTAGTTGTGACAGCAGAGCTCTGATCAAATGAAAGCTTCACGCGGTCTTTATCTCGAGCTGTTGCGGATCGTCCCTCTTTGACACCCAACGCCTGGCTGCGCATAAGTGGAGGGGAGCAGAGAGAGGGAGGAGAAAAGAGAAAAACAGCAGGAGGAGGGTGAAATCCAGCCAGACTATGTTGAGGAGCCACAGGCTGCGCACAGCACGTTACTCTGGAGTTTGAGAGGATGAAAGGGGGAGGATCGAGATTATTGCTGCAGAGATTTCTGAGGTGAGAGCAAGAGGAAACTTATTGACTTCTTTGGCGTCGATACTGGGAAGATGATGAGAGTAGACTGATTTCAATCACCGGGAGGCGCAGGACTGATACTGTGGAAGAGTGCCATGCTTCTAATCCTTCTGAAAAGAGGTCATTTTTTAGGGAAACTTACTTTTAAATACTTTACCTTTTACAACCCACGTTGATTTTTCTGGGAGTGAGAGATCCGAGGACTGCATCGGATTTGAGACTTTGCCGGTTGAAAGACATCTTCTGCTGCAATTTTCTGAGAGGAAAAAAAGCATGCATGCAAAAAATGCACGCACACTTGCCATTCAATGTAATCTGAATTGATGAACCTCATAAGAATCAAGCACGTCAGTTATAGTCTTGCCTGCGCCGCTCGGAGGAATAGTGCTGGGAACAAATTCACTTCTGGCATAAAATGAGAAATTTATCACAGCCGATCATTCCTGACCCACTCTTTCCGAGAGCATGTTGCTTGTTCCGTCTTTCCCTCTTGGTTTGCTGAGACTTGTTTTTGGAAAATAAGAGCCGTGGTTGTGCTTACAGACTCGAAGATCTGAAATATTTAAGACTCTGGCTGTGAACGATGCAGTTAACCATTAATGAAAACCGAAGCGGCTGTGATCAGTATGCATAGGTTGCCTACGTTCACACGGAGAACTGTGGGAGTGAGTTAAGGCGAGAGGACTAATGACTGACAGCCATACCAGGTTTGCTGTGTGGTGCCGCGGAGCACATCCTCTGCATTAGGTTGTTTGCTTCGGGCTGAATTTAGAAACAGCAAGTGTGGCTCATTTTTTATCTTTTTTTCCTTACATCCTCATTATCTCTTCCTCCCTCATTATCTCTTCCTGCTATCACACCTCATCTTGGTGAACAGGTTGCCGTTAAGCAGATTACTGTTTCCAGGACTGCGCTCCTTTGGGATGAACAGTTGAAGCAACTCACATGGGTCTACAAAACTTGCATTGAGTGACCATTTGACTTAGCATTTTTATCTTATCTCTCATAATCATCATGGTCCCACCACCCCCTTCTAACAAGCCGCACGTTTGCCTTTCGTGTGTGCTCATCATGAGTAGCATGGCGCTGCTGGATGCCTACCTTGTGGAGCAGAATCAAGGCCCACGGAAGGTGGGCGTCTGCATTATGGTGATGGTAGGAGATGTGTGCTTTCTCATCGTGCTTCGGTACATCGCGGTATGGGTTGGTGCTGAGGTTCGAACTGCTAAACGTGGCTACGCTATGATTCTCTGGTTCTTCTACGTCTTTGTGCTTGAGATAAAGGTCTACTTCGTCTATCAGAACTACAAAGCAGAAGGCGACAGGGCGGATGCTCTGACCTGCAAGGCTTTAACGGTGCTCCTTTCCGTGTTCATCCCAGGACTTTACGTGACTCTGGCGGCCATCGACCACATGGAATACGTTCGTCCCCTCAAGAAGAGAGAAGAATTGAGGAGTCGACTGTTTTGGGTAGTGGTGGATCTCCTCGACATTTTGGACATCCAAGCCAGCCTTTGGGAACCTCAAAGAAAAGGGCTCCCCCTATGGGTGGAGGGTCTTACTTTTTTCTACTGCTACATACTACTTCTAATCCTCCCATGTGTGTCGCTGAGTGAAATTAGCATGCAAGGTGTGAATATTGTGCCGCATAAGATGTTGTTGTATCCCATTCTCAGTTTGGTCGCCATTAACTTTATTACAATTCTTATACGAGGAGGGAATATGGTGTTTTATAGGGATATACGAGTTTCTGGAATACTGATGGGTAAGAATGTTCTTGCCATTGTACTTAAGACGTGCAGCTTTGTGCAGTACCGGAGGCACCTGCAGGAGGCGCCAACTCCCGCTCTGGCTCCGGAACTACAGAGGGACGCAATGCCACAAAGTTCTCGAGTGGCAGTGCCGGTCGCAATGCCAATGACCGTCAGCATGCCACCACCACAGGTGGTCATACAAGATCTAACCACCCTTCCAGAAGAGCCAGAACTTGAGGAAACATGACAAAAGTTGCAAATGAGATGAGTGAGCACTTAGGATATTTCAACAACGCACAATATGAGTTGCTCTGAGATTTCGGTTCATTTGTTAATCCGGGTATACATCGAATGATCTTTATTGTACATTGTGATGATTGTATGTTAGGGAAATACTACCAATGGCAAACTTTGATGCCAATTCCCCAGAATTTCAGCTGGACTGTAGCTCGATTGATTGACAGTTGGAGTCATCGCACTGTAAACAAAAAAAAAACAAAAAAAAAACTTTATTTTACTTTTGTTTGTTTGTTTTACTTTTAGACAACATTGTGAATGGTAACACGAATGTACAATATTTATTTTCCAACACAGGTAAAAAAAATGTTGTAAGAAAAAAGTCTTGTTTGAAATGTAAACAGATTATTTTAATAGATTTATGCTTTTAAAAGGAAAATATGAGCAAATTATTTTACTGGAACTTAAAACGAAAAATACTGATTAATATTTTTCTTAGTGCACTCATAACATTCTCACATTCAACAGCAATTACAAATATGATTTGAAAATAATGAAAAGTCATTCCCTAACCACACAAAAAGGTAGGAATCACATAGCGTGCACCCAGTTTTAGTAAAATAATGTGGTTAAAGTTGTTAACAATGACATGATATTCATGAAATGAAGACAGAAGGCAGCTGTTGCTCTGGGGTCCTTTCAATTCCAGAACAAAACAAAAGTCTTTTTTACTCTGAAGTGAAGTAATTAATGCTGAATATTATTAGTTGACAAGTGGCGTACCAAGCAACTCACACTTGAAGGAACTCTCAGTGACCCTATGATTGTACAATCACAGACAGCTGCGTCTTTTGTTTTTTTTGGTAGAGTGTTAAATTGTGTCAAATCATCATGTACTGTATTTATTTTGCAGCAATTGCAGTAACTACTGTGAAAAGTCGTGTTTCGGAAAACAAACTACGATTAATTTCTCTTAATTGCAAAGTGAATGTTTTATATTTGATGGAATTATGCTAAATATAGTCTTTGTTTCGATGTTTTATCAGAATCAAATGAATGATATTTTGTTATTAAAATGATGTTTTTGTTGATATGACTGAGGCTGTGCCACCTTTTGACCATATTTTCTAAAAACAAAGTAATTTCATGACAATTTGTGGGTTTTTGGTTTAGTTTTACCTTTATTTTGATATAGGGCAGTGGAGATTTCAGACAGGAAAGCATTGGGAGCAGAGAGAGGGGAAGGATCAGCAAAGGCCCTTCAGCTGGGAATCGAACTCGGGTCACCGTTCCACTAGGCTTTTGGGCTAGGCTTGCTTCATTTGTACATTTTAGTACAATTTGGTCATCCTCTATTGAGAGGTAGGGTTAGGGGTATAGTTTAAGGGACATGCCTCCCTTTAAATGTCTTCATATAAACGAAATTGCATGAATTTGTACAAATTGGCCACTTTTCTGACAATAAATATAATAATTTCCTTGTGAGATTGCTCTGAAACACACAACTCTGTATAACTTAATTTTTTTGAAGTAAAGTTACAACAGTTAGCTTAAAGCAAAAACTTCCCCAGACACAAATCCCAATCTTGTTATTCAACATGATTATGCAAAAAAACCTCTTAACTCTTATCTTGTCAGCTCCGCATAATGATAAAAGCCAGCTCGTCCTTTTATTCTACAATTCTACAATCGGAGGCGGCTGATTTAAATAAAGTTGTCATAATCAAATGCAAATTTGGCAAAGTTTCATCTCCAGTTTCTAAATTATTATCCCCTGTTATTGCGCTTCAAATCTCTGAGGGCTTTCTATTTAAATCCACAAATCAAAGCTCAGACTTGTTGAGAATTGTAATAACGATAAGTAAAACCTTATTTGCCGTGGGTGAATCAAAGGAAATGTTTGATGACAGCATATAACCAGAGCTATAATTTTAGCATGTTGCTATAGCTACTGTTAGATTAGCACTGTTGACAAATATAGCACAATGACATGTCTCAAAAAAAAAGTAAATACATCTGACAGCTTCTCATTGCTTCAGTGACACCGTAGATGCATCTGCGCCAGATGGAAATGCCAACATGTGATTGCGTATGTTTTTACCTGTCAACAGTGAAGTAAATAGTTACTAGTCTGTCAAAGCAGTTCCTTTCATTCAGTAATTTACACCAGTGGTCCTCAACCTTTTTATCACCGTGGACCGGTCAACGCTTGACAACTGGTGTTCTGTATTTGTCTGTGATAATTAGTCTTACTGAAATGTTTATATTCTAGATAAGCTAAAGCTGATCGGTTAATTCTTGTCACGTGACTCATGCTGCTTGTGCACGCAAGCCGCACACCTTCATTGGAAATAACGCACTTGTGCTAACTCTGGAAAAGATGCGAAAATGCGAAATGCCCCCTAAAAGGCCATTATTTGGGATCTTCAGCTGTTGATCTTCTTGCACAGACATGGTGGATTCACCTGATTTGTTGACAAATGGGTTGTGGATCCATTCTTTTAAGCTCGTGGGTCTTTCACTGGGCCTTTTCCCCTTTCCAAAGACGTCAGTTTCTTACTCATTTTGCTGCTTGTGGGTTAAATTTTGAGTGACCGAGATGTAAGCGAGAAAATACTGTCATTTTTTTAAAATAAAAGACTTTTCAAATATTAAAGATCATTCAGACTCACATAATAAATAAAACAGAAATAATTAATGATTTCTTGTGCAGCCTAGTGGTTAAAGACCACTGATTTACACACACACAAAAAAATATGTTTGCAGTTTGTTCAAATGACATATTTAAAAAGAGCTAAATCCACACAATTCTTAAGTGTATTGCTAAAACTTAATTGTTTTATGGTCAATCTACCTAAATTTGTTAAAACTAATAAGTTAACATAATTTTTTCATGTTGAGCCAAAACAAATCGATTTTTCACAGTGTTCACTCAAAAAAATTATATTTGCTGTTTGTTCTAACTATTTATCTAAGACAAGCTTAAACAAAATTTTTGAGATTTTTTTTGGGACAACTTACCATAATAGTTTTATCTGTTTTATCTTCAGTCAAAGACTAGTGCAGGGGTGTCAAACTCAATTCCTGGAGGGCCGAAGCCCTGCACAGTTTAGTTCCAACCCTGCTCCAACACACTTACCTGTAGGTTTCAAACAAGCCTGAAGGACTTAATTAGTTTGATCAGGTGCGTTTAATTAGGGTTGGAACTAAACTCTGCAGAGCTGCGGCCCTTTTGGAACGGAGTTTGACACCTGTGGACTAGTGAATGCAATAACAGGGCTTTGGTTCCTAGATTTAAAATCTTTGGGTGTTTTCACACCTGCCTTATTTAGTTCACACTAGAGCTCGTTTTCCCTCTTGGTGTGGTTCATTTGGGCAGGTGTGAATGTAGCAATCACACTCGAGTGTAGGGTTGGGCGATGTCAACCAATTTGTCATCATAGGCGGCAGTGAATTAATATTTATGAAGAATTAATTAATTCAAAACGAATTAATTATTTGTAGCCTACCGTTTTAACTACCTGGCATCATAAATACACCTGACCAAATCATAAATAAATAAAGAAAAGTTACACACAAATTACCACCTGTCAATCACTTTTTCCGCAGGACTCTGGTATGAATAGGTAGAGTGATCTGTGTCGTTACAATGGTGTCCACAAACTTGGTTGGTAAAAAAGTTGAACAACCAACAGGAACCAACCAACAGTATCTGAGGTTTTCGCTAAAATTACTAAGTACAAGCACGAAAGCTAGAGATTGAAGCAGTGTACTTGTCACGGTATGTGGGGGTAGATGGAGAGGAGGCGAGGACCCAAATGCAGGGAATGAAGAGTTTAATGAAAAATAAAACAAAAACAAAACTCAAATCTCCCCACGTGGGGAAAAACACAACATCATATTACACACTCAACTAGACTAGGTCTGGAACTTGACAAGACAATACTTAAACCACTGTTGTAGACTAGAAATCAGCAGATACAACAGTGAAGGGAACAATCAACAACGGACCAGCACAGAACAGAGCACACTAGGAGAATAAATAGGAAAGACAAACCAATAAACAGACAGGCGGACAGGTGAAAATAATAATTACAAACAAGGTAACAAGGTGGGTGGGACAAGACAATAGACGGGAGAGCGCATGACACAGAAAGACAATACAAGCCATGCGCTCACATAACACAACACTGAAGCACACGACAAAAGCACGTGACCACAATGTAAACACCGAGCCACGTGCTTTGACAAAAGACGCAAGACACGAGCACACGATGAATGAAAGCACTCACCGTGCGCACACACACGCAGCGTGCATGCTTCATCCCAGCGCCGACCAAAACCGAAACCAACAAGACTGAGACGCTGGGAATGAAACACCACGCTGCTGACAAACGAAAACACAAACACGAGTACAAGAGCGCACGCGTCTGAGTGACGCAGAGCGCGCGCGCGGCCGCGTCAAGCAGGAGCGCGCACACTCTACGTACACCCACGACGGCGCGCGCTCACACAGAGACAGAAACAGGACCCGACATGAGAAGTGTCAGAGCTCTGCCACCAAAACAAGAATTTACAAGACCAAAGTGGCAGAACCCTGACACTAGCCCCCCCCAAAAGGGACGCCACCTGGCGTCCCTAAAGGGAACATCCAACAAGGTACAAGACAGACAAGAAACACTAGAAGACAACAAAACAGGCAACATCAACAGACACAAGACAGGGGGGTGAACAGGCAAGACGACATGAAGGGGGGGAGGGAGGGAAGCCAAGCCGGACTCAACAAGACAAACAAGGGAGGGATGGGAGGGCAAGACCAGGGAGGATCAGGAGGGACAGTCCAGGACAGATGCAATGGGTCAGGGACCCCGGCAGGGAACCAGGGTGGAGCCGGAGGATCAGTCCAGGGTGGCAGAGGCATGCTCCAAGGTGGAGCAGGAGGGACAACCCAAGGAGGATCGGCCTGGGATACCAAGGCAGGAGGCCTGTAGGGAGCTGGCTGGTCTAGAG